TCATTTGATTGTTTCTTCGTTATCAAAGTCATGTCCATTTAAAGAATTTTGTAAGTACTAATGAAAATCTGAGGGAGCTATGTACGTCGTGCGAATACGGTAGATGTGTCATCTCACATCCCAAATTAACTGCTGTAGTATTTGACAGTTTTGTAAAGATGTGTGTGGTTTGCCATTATCATGATGAAATAAGGTTTTTACGATTCACCAGTTCTGAATGTTTTTCTTTAATTTAAAACTTAAAACCGCCTATTCTTAAGTATTTTCTCTTTCGGTCAAGCTGCCAGATCTTGGATTGCAATTTTTCTTCAATAGTTGAATTTTCTGACATTATTTCGCGGGAAAATAACTTTCAAAATGGCCACCGTAAAAAATATCATTCATCACACCGTAAAAATATCAATTATTATGGTGGCCATTTTGAAAGTCCGTCCATTCATAAAAAGCGCGCTGAAACGTTATTTTTAATATGACCATAGATAATATAATAATATTTAAAACAAATTTTATTTTTGTTTAAAGTTAGCCGTGGCATTAACTTTTTGGCCAATCGATTATTTATACGGCATTGAATAAAGTGTATAATTTGCACTAATATGCATTTGGCATATTAAGTAGTAATGCTAATTAAATACTATTGTTATAAGCATTTCAAATAATGAATGTAACATGATAGGTAAGTAAATAAAATAAAAATATTGTGTCAATGAGTATATAAGTCATGTAAAATTGCATTTATTAATGTCGATTGCTTTCTAGAATAGTGGCCTATCTCAAAAGCATGTAATTGATCAGGGACATGACGTAAAGAAACTGAGACATGTCTGCCGCGCAACATTGACATATCGCAGACTATCCTGCCTTCGGTATGTGATTATTTTAACCAATGAAAAGCGCGGTGTCCCATTCCGTTTTTCGAACAAATCTCGGTAATAGGTCAAAATGGAGTTTTTATTTTTTATTTTTATACATGGCAGGCAGATGACACTACTTTTGGATTGGGCCACTATTCTTGAAAAGCAGCGATATGTATTATATTAAAATATTACTTTTAATAATGCAAGTTGTGGGTTTATTAAAAAAAACAAACTGTCTGTATTTTATTTTTTTATTATTAAACCTTTAAGAAAACAGTTATAATTAATAATTATTGTTTAACTTGACTAGTATCACATTTGAAACCCCCAATCATAAACTATAACGAATATCGCACCTTTGGAGTAATAAGGTCGCATCTGCAAAATCGCAACTTTTCAGAAAACAGGTTTAAAGACTTTACGAATTAAATTATTCAATAACTTATTCATGCTTAAATTGGAGCGTTATAATATACGTAATTTGTTTCATGTAGTTAGTATTATTTGTATGACTTTCATGTGATTTTGTATCTTTATTATACCAAGGTACGATATCAGGTTCTAAGAGATGACAATTTTAACGTCAATTTGTATTGTTACGAATAAATCACTTCCGATTTTGGTATCGTAAGCAGTATGGAGTAGAATTAAAAGCCTTAGAGCGTTTGCGCATTACCTCCTATTCGTATTAGTTCCGAATCCGAAAAATAACGGTGCGAAATATCGCAGGTGTCCGAAGTGTCATTTTATCTCTAGGTGTACAAGCTATATTCGTATTTTCTCGTTGGACTTACTGACTTCCATCTCACCTGATGGAAACTGACGATGGGGTCGACGATGGAGCATGCACACCCAAATAATTTCACTTTCGCCTTTAAGCCTTTTAAAGGCCCAAGTGATGGCATTCAGGGAACAAATCAACAGGCAGGGAATTCCACTCCAACGACGTAAGCCGTGGTAGCGAAAATGACCTGCTGCCTCTCAAGCAAAGGGTCGTGGGTTCGAACCTGGGCTCGCACCTCTGAGTTTTAATTTATTTTTCTTAAATTTACAATGAGCTTTTCGGCGAAGGAAACGTCTTAATGAAACCTGTACGTCGAAGAGACCTCTGCCCAGCAGTGGGACGTATAATTGGGTTCATGAAGATGATGATGTTAACGTAAGCTATAGAAATTACGGAAGCTGACACTGATGGCTTTCATGCCATCCTAAGGAAAAAAACCGACTCGATGACGAACCGTGTCCGCGGCAGCAACAACATTATCTTACGCGTAGTTGCCAACTGATGTGGCTGTTCCATTTATTTTTTTTTTGTTTTTAAATATAAAAATAAAACAAACAACTTAATTTTATTCTATTACTTACATATACGTATAATTATTTTAAGATTGATTGTGACTATGATTTTGGTGTTAATTACGATTATAATTTCGTTCTTAATTTGATTTTATTTGTGTATTATTTTTAATTTTAACTTGTAATCAATTATGTTTTATAATTTAAGAATATGGATCCTAGAAATCAGAAATAAATGATTTTTATTTTTATTTATTTTTTATTGACACACGTGGAAGCTTAACGCTTCATGTGAATCTCGGATATATCCACAATAGAGGTGGAAGGAACCCTATTCTACGTCTATTTCCCAGATAATAGAATATTATGCCAAGGCCAAATTCACCACGTGACGTCATACGTAGGTAAGCAAATAAACGTCACAGTACTGACTGTTATTATTATATCCGTTACGGTTAACTTGGATTATCAAAGCTGGATAACCTTGGGTTCAGTTGAAAAGCGTGACAAGAAACTATAGGTGACACGCATTTAATAGAGGCGAAGGTCTTGAACATTACCGTGAAGTTGCCTGCTTATCGTTATTTAATAATGAAATATTTGTATGGCCTACATTTATTTCTCTCGTAAGTTTGGGTGTAATTTGTGGTTGTCTGTGTGTGTCCATGGCACCCACGACACAGGGTTTCCCTAGTGCGGGACTATGTTGAGTGTGTGCGTTATTATTATTATTCTACAAGATATATCGCAGAGACTGTACTATGGAATTGCTTGATTTACTTCCGTCTGCTTTCCATCACCGGGGACTAGACGTCGACTTGGGCTCCACTCTTATGTTGTGGATATACGCACGAAGCGTTATGCTTCCACTGTGGAGGCGTAACGCTTCGTGTTCCACATATATATGGCGAACAGCGTGAAAAGTCGTGCCTGCAGAGCCTCGAGCCTTTTCACGGCGAGAGTGAGAAGGTATTATTTAGGTGTGCGCTCCATCGTCAACTTGAGGTCGAAATCGCATTTATATTTTATAAAAAAAACTTTTAATGGTTTCTGAAAAGATGTTCGAATGCCTATTGAATAATTTTTTTTCAATAAGCTTAACATTCTAAGTTTAAGCTTATTACAAACTGTAGAATTATGTTCTTTATGTTAATTTCAAATTTCATTCATTTGCTTTCTGAAATTGTGCAATTTGAGTGTATGCCATGAAAACTTCGATCGATTCGCTTACAGCGCTATAAAAACAGGCAAATGTACGACAATTAGTCGATAATGTTCTTTCCAAAGCTATTACATAATTACCCAGGAAAGGAGCGGGAGAAGTTTACACTTTTTTTTTAAAGTAGAGATCTCACGTTCGTTCACAATCGCATTTGTTAGAAAGTGTTAGCTTCACGAAATATAGAGACAAACTGTTTTTCCGTCCCGTCGATATCATTTACAAAAGTATCACGTCAAATTTCGGTATCATAACCGCGTACGATACCATCTTATACACACATATACAACTTCATTAACTTCACCCAATAGTAAACTGTTCCTTTTTTTAACTGTTCGCAAATGCGATGACAAACAATGTATGTGGCATACAGGCGCAGCAGAAATCACAACGTTCGGGCATTTTGTTTGTATAATTTGAATCTCTGTTTGTTCATAATTGTCTACTTGTATTATACAATGTATTATTACAATTTTGTATTTATATTATTTTACATTTTTAGTTTACAACATCATACATTATTTTATATACAAAACCGCTAGCGACAGCCTGGAATGGTAAACTTAGTACCTTTGATATAATAAAGTCACGTAATGGTGCGTAAAAAGTGCTTTTATGACATGAAAGTAATAAGAATGATACTTACAACACATTTTATAACACCCCTGTTTAAGCATAAGTATGATAACGACTACTTTAGTTCTTATAATGTTTAAACCTTTCTCCTTTATTACACCAATGGTGTGAACTCATGGTAGAGGCATTGTACCTAATATCTATAGCTACAGAAATATAAGGTGCTTATAAAGGCGTATTTTACTATAATATTAGTATATAAAGCAATATAGACCGTAAAATTATGAAACTATGATATTATTTCGATATTTTTTTACATCTCCAAAGTTTCCTTTATACAATAATCAGTCAAAAACACAACCTACATAATTATTTTAAAAATTAGCACCTGTTACACGATTAGTCAAAAATTAGTATCTAATGTAAAAATAACTAAAAGTTTATTTATCTACACACACATCATAAACTCTCTATAATGTGTACATAAAGCATAAAGATAAACTGTTTTGTTAGAACAAATTTCTTATCTGTGAAAATGTTACTATTGCTTCTTACTAACATCGAATTCGATATCATTATGACATTCAAATTTCGAACATCTCTGAAAAACAAAACAATTTGATTGGACCTCAATTCTAATATCAGTCGAGATAAAGTTGTATTTGAAATGAAATGTCAACAGCAAACAATTTTGATAATTTCACACGTTACTTGATATCGAACGATATGATAGTTGGGGCCGATTTTAGTTTATCTATGAATTAAAAATAAAAACTACGGTTGAGAAAAGTTTTTATTTGCTGCCATTTCGCCAGTCGCATGCGGTTCCTGAACACATCAAAGAGAGCTTATTTGTGTAGATAAAGCAGTGTATGTAACTGTACATAATTAGGCATTAAACCACTCGTGAGATGTTTTTATGAAACACGCCTGTCGGCTCGTTTCATACCCTCACTCGCATTTCAATGCAAATGTAACAGCCACATAAACGACTATTATTTTAAAAACAATGTACCTGTAAGAATATTTTTTTGTACTTTCGTTAAAAATAGAAAATTTCTAGCGATATTAAAAATTTAAATATTGTCTATAAAATTTAAATATAAATTTGTCTTTTCAATATCACTGTACGATATTTATATATACATTATATTATTATGGATACTTTATAATTCGTCGCCTATACAGAAAAACATTATAGATCTTCAGGGGATTGCTAGAGAATTTCTTGTATGATCATCTAACGAACCCCTGGTAATCGAGGATCCTTACGTTGTTTAATAGGTTTAAGGGGAGTTCTTCACCTAAAAATAGTCAGCCTATGTATAGTCCCAATGTTGGGGACAGGCCTTCTCTACCAATGAGAGGAGCTTCAGCTATAGTTACCACGCGGGCCCAATGAGGGTTGTAAACGTCATACACTTCATTAGTTGCTTTGCAGTTGCGTGCAGGTTTTCTAATTTCAAATCAAATTTTGCACATAAGTTTCGAAAAGCACAGAGGTGTAAGCCCTGATTCGAACCCGCACCTTCTGCTTGAGTAGCAATAAGTAAAATCGTTAGGCTACCACGGCTTAGAGGATCTTCATCTATTTACTGTCAAGAATAGCAAGTGATAAGATCTTTTCGGTCCTTGTAACTAATAACTTGTAAAGATGTTTCTCGCTGACGGTGAAGGATAATATGAAATCTGCATTTTTAGAAGGTTTATAACCCTTGAAACGTATGTGAAGTTCCCAACCCGCATCTTTAGAAGGTTTGTAACCCATGAAAAGTATATGAAGTTCTCAACCCTCATTGGGCCAGCGAAGCGGAGAGTATAGCCAAAACTTTCTTCTTAGAAGCGATGTAAGAATTGTTAACAATGACCACATATTTCAATTCCAACCCCAATATTATAGGGACTGCCGCTTTTGGGGATAAAATAAGTTCGAGTAGAGAGTAACTCATCATTCAAGACGGGTAAGGTATTTTACTCTGTTAAAATCATCAAATCAAAGTTACCAGTCATTGTCTTGTGCAGTCTTTTATAAAATCAATCGCAAAAGTATCACAATCCTTCTTCAATGAAGAGGTTTTAGTTTCTACTATTGAAAAGCAAACATTATAATCAATACAGGTACAGTAATAACGCAAACTAGATATATTGAAGTGCGGGGCTCACATTCGGTTATGATGACAAACTGCTCGTTCCATAGGCTGTCGTTGTCACGTAGAGGAAGCTCAAGGACTACCTGAAAAGTTGACATACTGAATAGAGTACAACTTCCCAGAAAATTAACTGCAGGGCGTTTTTCCTTCGAACTTGCACGCACAAGAGGTTCACAATACTTGGGAGACCCTCTAATTAGCATTGTGTGGGCTTGGCAGAATACGGTCGAAATACTGTCCTAAAAAAATGCGTATCATCTTGCTTTTATTATGATAATGTCTTGTCTAAAACATAGCCTATTTATTTATTTATTTTATTTATTTTGTTCACAATTAAAAACTTTTTAATTGTGAATAAAATAAATAAAATAACAAAAAGGAACACAAGACAGCGAAAAAAAACCATAAACAGATTTATGTGTTGCTGCCATCATATGCTATCAGGCGTCTAACAAAATAATAAAAAAAAGAAAATAGAAATGGTACTTTACCAACATTGTGGTGGTAATATGAAATTAGGGTTTATTGTATTCGCCATGCTAACATTAGGTACCTTTTGACTGGAAAAAATGTCCAAAGATAAATCACATCGTTCGGTGCTGTTGGTGCACTCGCGTAGTTTTGTTTTAGCGACGTCGTATCTTGTCTTCTGCAGATCGAACCGAGCTCGGATGTAATTGGTCTGCACCTCGTTCTCTGAATTGAATACGAAGAAGTAGTAGCCATTTGCTGGGACTCTGGAATGGAAAAGTGCAGTCTAGAATATTACCACCAAGAATTGAAAAGTACTTACTATCGTCATACCTATTAACCAACCTTACTTGTTAGCGGGTAAAAAAAGTTAAAACCGATGATACTGACCTGTAAGTAAGAGCATTAGCTCTTGCAGCAGCAAAACTCTCCTGATCTCCAGCGTTTCGATTGCATCCCCCATGCGGCGTCAGCGGCAGATTCAGGATCAATCCTTCACACTCCAGCAGTGCCTCCTCGCTGCTTGAGAACGAAGACCAGAACTCTGATTTACTCATATCAAAAGGAGTTGTTTCGTTCACCTTTTTGTGGTCGTCTGCAAAACTATCTGGTTTTAGGTCCTGGAAAGTTAAAAGGTTTAAGGTTGTTGACACAAATTTTCATTCAAACGTCATTTAGTTAAATCAGTGTCTTTTTCAGCCACGTTGGTCGTTGCCGAACAAATAAAAACTTTGCTTTCCTAAAGCTACGTTTTTTCGGAACGCCAACATATTCTGTAACTGAAGGCCACAAGCAAGAACACGGAGAATTGGACAATAAGGTGTACATATAATTTAGGTATAATGACTATAGTCAATCAGTGGTTTCTGTAGTTGCAATAAAGTCTTGAGTAGATTATTGACCATGACTGTTAATTAAAACTAAGTACTTGATTTGATTGGTCTATACGAATTGGTGACGCCATACGATGTAGAAAATTGAATGCACATGTTACTAGAATATTTTTTATTATTCAATTGTCATCTTGTAAATTAAAGTGTTTCTGAGCCAGATCGCTTTGTACGTATTTATGAGACATGCTTCCTGAACAAGTCACAAAATATATCTCATGGTTCCTGTCAATTCTATTTTGTTTCTAAATATTACAGATTTTAGTATAAAGTTTTTGTTTCACTATAGGTAGTTTTAAATCTCGTCAATGGCAAATTTTGAATATCAACATATTTAGATATTCGGGATGCCTTCTTGATATCAGAAATGTCTATAAAATACCGGAGATAATGAGAAGTAATGACATCGCGTCGTTATAAAGATTCGATTGCCATATTATGTCTACACACAAATACCTAATCTTTTTCACTTACTTCTTCACCAGCGTGGTTTCTTGGCTCATCATCTTCATTCAGCTGTTTGGTCAGCTCGATTTGGCCTAGCATCAGTTCCCTTTTAGCTCTCGCTGCCATTCTAGCTTCATGTCTTTTTTCTGTTTAAATTATTAAAAAAATGGATCTGAGATCATAATTAATCTTTATATTGTTTATGACGTGCAATAGACAGTTCAATAAATAGAATAAAAGTTTATTTGCTACCACTTTACACAAACGGAAAATACCTAATTCAAAATTTAGTTCTCAAGTTCCACTGTAGGTTACAAAAGCCCTTTAGATATATGGCGCAACTTGCATTATTATCATCACGTGCATCAAATATTGTGCGCGTGGGCAATTAATTAAATAGTATCATCTTTTATGGGATAGTTCCTTTGACATTTGAGAGATATGTTTTCACGAGCGCAATTAAATAGTACTTACGCTGTCTGCTTGACTTGGTCTTCGCTTCATCTATAGCCTCGACCAGCACTTTTCTGAGTCGATCGAGTTCTTCATCACTGCCTGATACAGCTGCCATGATACTGTCTTCTGTAGTTATTGGCTGGAAATCGAGAATTAAATGAATTGGGTATTTTGGGTTATTACGATTTATGGTATTTTCTATAGTATTATCCTTGAAGTAAATTTGAATGTGTAACTACATTTTCAGGATTATATTACGTTTAATTTGTTTGCAAAGTCTGATGTTTCTCGTTTTTGTTGCCACGGTACATGTTGTAAAACAGCAATGTGATAAAAGCTAAAAACAGAGCTACTAAAATATTTATAACCAGTAGGAATCTACACAGTAGACTAAAATGACGAATGAATGGACTGAAAATCTTTGTTTGTAGAACTGTACGCGATTTACAAGAAGACTTCTTTAAAACTTCAGCTTATCAGCTGATGGCTGGTGGTTGAATTTGTATCAAAAGTCATTCGTTCTTTTTTACACTATACATATGTAAATAAAATATACACTTTTATTAAATTTTATTTATGTAGGGTTATTTGGAAAAGTCTAACACCTCGCAGAATTGATTCATTCGCTCAGTGGAGAGGTCGATTGCACATTTGAAATTACAACAGGTAGTACACCAAAACACCTTAAAGTTAATTTTTGGTAAATCTATTATATTTTGTAAATAGTTATGGAACAAAATTTGCTGTTTGTATTGTTAGTAATATAGTTCTACAAGGTTGTTAGCATTTTACAAGTAACCTTGCATAGTCCACTTACCCCTTCTAGATAAGGTACTCCCATAGATTGGTGTAACTTCACTAGCACTTTCTTTCCCTTATCCCCGAGAGCTTGCAATCTCTTCAGTACGTCTTCGAACACTTCTCTGGAGTTCGTTTCGTCTGTTGCCGTCTGAAATAAAATTACCTTATTGATCATAGAATCATCTAAAATAAACAATATCACGTGTATAATAACGTTACATTATTTATCATAATCCGTTTTTACAATATCGCTATGCTTAAAAGCAGTCTATATCACTATACCGATAATGTTATTAGTATGAACTGGTTTAATTTGAATAGCCTAGATAAATTATTTTTTTCTAATTATATAGTTTTAAACTTCATCTTTTCAAACATGATCGGAAATGTTTGAATACGGAAAGTTTGTCGTTTACGGGCGACTTCTTTCTCGCCAAGGCCTGCAAAGTATATATGAAAATCGAACTGTCTACTTCTCTAAACTTTTATGAACTATGTAAACAGGCAAAATAATTTGTTGGAAAGAGGGTTCTCAGAAGTGGTTCCATTTAAATTTGAAGAAAATATTCCACCACTAAGGGAATTAATTACTTTTGAGGTTGGTTTCTTTAGTACTCTGAACTGATATTATTTTTTTGGCCTTTTTCTTTTTTCGATAACGAAAATGCTACCAAATAAGTTAAAAAAAAATCGAGTTCTTAGGTTTTCACGATTGTTACACATAGGAAATGAAACTATTTTTCCGGATTTAAATCGCGTATATTTGTTTTTTCAAACAAACCGACGTTTCGGGCCCTTTACAGGTCCCATGGTCACGGTTGACTCAAGTGGTACAGTCTTCAACCAGTTATGTCTAATATTGACGCAAACCACCCTATTTTTTCCTATAGTTACAATAGTTATTAATTAAATACCTTATCTTTAATTATTAATACAAAGATCGAACAATCAGAAAAAACACTCAGAAAAAATTCCTTCGATCCGGTCGGATTCGAACCGACGTCTTCTTGCATACCGTGCCAGACGCTATACTAACTAAGCCACGGAACGAACCAACGGACCTCACGAATTTTTCTATGTGCTTGCGTCGTGTCTTTGTACTTGGTCTTTCAACGACTTTTTAGTCGTAGCGCCATCTATGAGAGACTGCAGACTTGTTTACGCGACGGTGTTTGACATCAGCTATATTATGTTCTTTGACGCGGGTACAAATACTTCGCTTTGTTTGTCCAATATAAGAGAGACCGCACTCACAGTCAAGCTTGTAAACTCCTGCATCCTGTAAGGGGATGTTACATTTCACGGGTCTCAGGAACTGAGAAATCTTCCTCAGGGGCTTGAAATAGGTCTTGATAGATGCACACCTGAGGACTCTTCCGATCTTGTCTGTAACACCTCACACGTAAGGTAAGATGGCAGGTCTTCGCTCGACTGTTGGTGGTTTCACACGGCACAATAAAATAAATTTGACATATTTGTCAAATGTTACGTTTAATTTTAATTATAATTTTTTTATTTTTTCTATTAAACATCTTCTCTTTAGTCTTCTATTATTTCCTCACATTGTTTGAGAAAACCACTACATAATATAAATATATCAATCCATTGACTTTAATTGTAAGTCAATGTATCAATCACTATATTTAAGCCTCGGCGGGTACGATCACTGCTTGACTCGTATAATACAAGGACTAGTAACTCGTACTCATCTAGCAATCCCTTACTTCCCGGCCTCTGCAATAGTGTACTATATCCGTTTGGCGAAATTATCTACATCTGAGGAGTATATCATACTGCTCTTTTCTGGTGCGGGGCTATGAGTGTGTTTTAAAAAAAATAGAGTTCAGGGAATAAGGCTGCCTTAAAACCTTAAGACAGCTAATTTTATTATATATAACTGCATTCACAGATTATTTTAAAAGCTTAGTGATGATGAGGTCGACGATGGAATTTCGAGCTCATTTGAGAGGCAATCGTTATTCCAATGCCCTAGCTCTGCGCTTTGTAAGGATAGATAGATTACACTAGAGGCACATAATTAAACTAGCTAGACAGTTAAACATTATAGCAATTACGACGGCAGTACAGGAATTTTCCTGGGTTTAATAATTACGACGGAATTATGAATTAGTACTATAAAGTTATTATTTTATGAGTCAATTTACGCAAATTATTTGCAGACCTATTACTATAGGTTTTATATTATTAGTTATCTACCAAGTGTGTAATTTAAGATTATTATAATCTACAATAAACTGCTTATAGATAACCAGTTCTATAAGAGGAAGAAAGAAACGTTGGCCTTGTCCAACATTGTGTAGAGCTTCTTGTCAAATTGTATGTCCAGGAAAGTACTGCCTATTTATGCCGCCAAGCAGTAATATGAGGCAAGGGTGCTGGTGAAATTAGGGCCTTATCAAGTTATGTCTATCAGGCGCACGCCACTTGGTATCATAAAAGAAAATGGTCATACAGAGTGTTTAGATAATATGAGATTGTATAGTCAAACAACAAACGAGTTGGGTATTTAACTTTATTCTCCCACCAATAGAAATGGTACAAAGGATAGATTTCGGAGGGTGTGCACAGGAACACGTTTTGACCACATCCGTGGTCGAGTGACTTGCATATCGGGTTTCATGTCATTATATCTGAGGCCCCGGGTTCGGTCTCTGGCCAAGTTAATGTAGCAGAACTAAATTTTCTGTATTGTCTTGGGTATTTGTGATGATTTTTATAACATCTAGTGACGGGACGAACAAGTCGTAAATCGCAAAGGTCTTACGGGCATTGCCACTGCGCTTGTCAGACAAGTTGACAAGTCTCATGTGTCTGTAATTTCACCAGTAATCTTACCCCTCAAAACCGGAACGTATTAAGGCTTGGCGGCAGAAATAGGTAAGATGGCAGCACCTCCCTAGACGAACTCTTTCACAAGGATCTCTACTGCTACTAAACGCAATGCAGGACTGCCATGAAGAGGTTCCAGGTTCGATTTCCGGGCCGGGAGAAATATATGTATGGCCTACATTTATTTCTCTCGTGAGTTTGGGTGTAATTTGTGATTGTCTATGTGTATTCCCTAACGCACTAGGGTTATGTTCAGTGTGTGCGTTATTATTTTTATTATTGTTGTTTCCGATTTCCATAACACAAGTGCTTTAGTTCCTTTGGGATCAGAGCAATGTATATGATTTTGTCTAATGTTAGGAATTTTTCCTTTAGTTGCACATCTCACTGTTTCTCTTTCGGTCGACTAGAAAGGCAGGTACACTGGAATGTATTTTTAAGCTGTAGATATATTGCCCATTCTCGAGAACGCGTTTCTTCCTTTACTTTAATGTGGACGGCAAAGAAACAGATCATCTATGTTTGACGAAAACTACAATTTAGAGCTATTCAAGCTTGTACAATCGTAAGTCACATCGTTGTTTGGCATCACCTGATGACCCAATGTTTAATGGAGAGATTTTATCGATTAGTACAGCCAACAGCACACCAAGCTATGCACTTTAGTTGGAATATCGCCTCCAGTGCAACGGAATAAGATTCGTCAATGTAGCTCGTTGTGCTGCCGACTGTACAATAAATTTGTGAGTGTTCATTTTTTGCATTTTTAGTTGGTTCGATTAGCGGCTCAGGTAAACTGTTACCACCTGTAAAAGTTCTGTGTAATTATTCATATTAAGAAAAATAAAGTGTTTCTTAAAGGTAAAATTCGCTACCTTAAGCATTTAAGGCAGTTTCTTTCATGTCCAATTTTTCTTCACCCCGTATACGAAATAGTGTAAGCCCAGAATTTGTTTCATTTTCTTAAACAAAACGTCCATTACATAAACATAATATTTACATTTATTACTTATTTATCTCTACTATTTGAGTAATAACGGGAATATAGCCACGACTCTTTGTTTTACTCAACTTATATGCTTTTATTATATTTTTATGCTCGCAGAAATGTTTTTTATCTTGCAATTTTTATCGTGATATATCGTGTCTCTCAAGGATGTCTATGGGTCGTATTCTAGAACTGTACTTAATGCTCAAGTCAGGATTGCCCTGGAAACACAAGCACTGGAAATACGACCCTAATGGCAGGGACTTGAGTATGATTTCGAGTGCTTTGAATCATACTCAAGTCCTAACTTGAGCATTGAGTAGAGTTCTAGAATACGACCCTGAGACAGGTCTAGTTGGGAGAAAGTTTGCACCACTTGACCTTTCATATAGTATAAAACTTTTCGAAGATGTGTTCCAGCCACAACAAACACTGGCATCTCTACGGCTTTAACCTATAAGGGCAACCGTGCCCAGCAGTGTAACGTATACGAGTCAATATAATTACGTATATGGAATTCATTATAAATTGCCTTCGTTGTCACCGGGAAGTTACTACAGTCGAATACTGGACAGCTTACGCGTGGCGAGCACCATTCTAGCTCGATCAGTGTGCATCGGACACTCGAGTTAATAATTATATCATTATTAATAAAAACTCCTCAAGAAATATCATTTAATGTTCACCCCACATTTTGGTCCTTCAAGCCGGATATAAGAGCTCATTTTCGGCTTTTGGTTTTGACCTGAAGTACGCAAAAACATAATCAGATACTCGCGTTGTAGCCTACGGTTGTTATTAGTGAAAAACTGAGTCTTCCCGTAGCAATTGTGAATAATTGTTGAATATGGCTATAAACAGAGGCGAACGTTCCAAACAAGAACATGCAATATCGTCGCCCAGCTTCATAAGTGGGTTGGCGAGTAAAGCTGCAATGCAATGCACAGAGACAGTTAACTCAATGCTTGGATTTATTACTGGTTCGTGTTGGTTATCAAAACACTAATGAAGTGATCTTGAAATCTGTAGGTCAGAAAAGAAAGTGTCTCCTAATTACTTTTGTGAAAGCACTACGATTGTGACCAGAGATGGGCAGTGGGTTGAAACCCAATCAACATCAAAGCCAAGGTGTTAAAAAGGGTTTTTACCACAAGGGTTGAGGCCCGGCTTAACCCATTTCTGCCCAAAATCGTGCGCAAAAACAGCGAATGCGGAATTTGGTATAATTCCATACTCATTACAAATTTCGATGTAAAAAAATATTTTATTTTATATTATATTTAATCCTGTGAACTCTCACTTAATATTGGGATGCACATTATGATTCGATTTTTATAAAAATCGATTCAAGTGTATATACATTGTCGAGTTTTTGTTTTATAGATTCATTTCAATGCGATTTTCAAGCAAATCGATTCAATGGAAAGGCGAAGTATGTAAATATTTTGTAATAATATCATTGCATTTGAACAAAATTCGATTTACAAATGTATTAGTAAATAGTTTTTGCTCTCAGTTTCGGGAGCTGATTAAAGTTCAACGTTAACAAAGCGCCCGGTTAAAACCTGACTGTGACTGAATAGAATGCAACTTTTAGTTAGTAAATAATGACTGACTTTATTCAATTTCTTACCTCGACCTCCGTAACCTGTTCCACGCTTGCCGCTACCGTAGTCGTAGAATTAATGTTTTCTGGTCTTTTTTCTTCTGTCACTTCACCAATGCCTTCTTCTTTTTCATTTTTAATCTCAATAGTATTGTCTTTGACATCTATAGCTTTATTCAATTCTTTATTTTTAAATTTATCTATTTCTATAATTGAAGTTTCAGGCGATTTTGGATGCTCCGTAGTTGTAGTCTTTACAAGAACAGTATTGGTTTCAATTGAATGATCACTGCTGTTTGCATCTATGCCTGAAATTGAAGATATATATTTTTATAACAATTTGTAATTAATAATTGTAAAGTGCTTTTATCACAGTTGAAGTCATATATACAATAAGAACTGCACGAATCGAATTATGTGAGAATGTTTTAACCTCTCCCTAGAAAAGTTATCATTTTGCAAATGTGGCCTTATTACACAAAGGGTGCGCTTAGAAAATAATTAATCTATCCCATATTCACACATATTTTTTAATTTAAATTTTATAATACTAAGTGATGGGGTGGAGAAGTCGTGCGCCTGGTGGTAAGCGACATGCCTATCCATAACAGTTGCAATGCCACTCGGAGTTTTAAATAGCAAAGATCTGAGGGGCACTGTTACTGGGTCCGTCACCCTGAGACATAAGTTGATAAGTCCCAAGTGCCTGTAGTTTTACCAGCACCCTTAACCTTCCAAACCGGAACGCAGTAATATTCAGTAGTACTTGCCTGGACGAACTCTTTCACGAGCTCGATTGCTATATTATGGTTTACAGAAAAAAAAAAATTAAATTCTGTATAATTGGTAACGCCAGTGATAAAACTTCAAACAATATTCCATAATCGTGAATAGGTAGAATATGTTAGTAATTTTACGTAAAATCGGGTGGTCCACCATTTTCAGGTGAATTGTATCATAATAAGGAAAGCAGTGCAATCTTTGTTATGATATCTCTGTATCAGAATCGTAGATTGGTTTCTTGATTAAAGGAGTAAGATTATAAAATAGAAATGAAATGCTGAACAACCAATTAAACAATCATAAACACGACTACTTTTTGATGTCATGTGACAACCCGCGCTATGCAACGCGAGTGTGCCGCGAGATAATGCGAATGTGTGCATCCGTACAAGTCGCGCTCTACGTTTGTATGGAGTTTCACTATTTGTCTTATTATGATTATACTATGAAAAAGAATACTCAATTATTTCCAAATATTCTGCCACGTACCTTTAAACGACAGCCACTGGCGTTCATCTTTATCAACATTAGTGTCTCTATGTCTATGAAGCCCTGGTACCGCCTCGAGGTGCGACGGAGGTTTGTAGTGCTTCAGTGACTCCTCCTTCGCAGCTTCGCGCAATGCGTGCAAATGCTCCAAGATGGCTCTGAGCTCCTGGTAGGGTAAACAAAATGGAACTTCTATGAATGAGTTTTATTGCTATTTAGCAGAATCATCCTATAGGCGGCAGCAGTACTCCATACACGACAGGACGTGTACTTGGTACAGCTGAAACAACTGTCCCAGCCTTGAACACGTCTTTATAAATAAATTATATTAGAATATGTGACAGTATGGTTACCAATCTAATCGTATCCCATTATAGTGCAGAGGTAGCCCTGATCTCGAAACTTTTCAAATTTCACCCTTACATTTGGATCTTGATCGGTGACGTCTACAGTCGGCACGGTGTCTGATGACGTCACGTTCCCGGTGTTGCTGGGATCGTGGAAACTCACGCCTGACTTGTGGCGTTTCATTGCTCCTGTAAGAAAAAGCCAATGAGTCTATGTAGTACATCTACTAAACTAAAAATTAATTTTCGTTATCGGTTTTGTTTAGACATGAGCAAATTACATATTTTTGATCTCTTAGAAGAATATTTTAGTTATGATACATTTATTTGACATTTTAAATAAATAAGCGATAAATTGCGTTTTCTCAAATATTCAGCATTAAGAACTGTGTTTTTTTATGTATTCCTTCTGTTTGTAGGTAATCCGTATTCGTTCGAATAGCAAAGAATAGGCCGAATATGCCGAATACCGAATGGTAACTGAATATTCGTATATTCGTTGCAACTCTATTTTATAATAATTTTTAAGTTTATTTATTGGATATCACCAAACAATATGTTTGACCACCATGATATTCAATTATTTTTTGTGAAATTACCTTACGAATTTTTCTCTTCTTTTCATATCTTCGTTTTTGGTTTTTAACGATTTTATAGGATTAGTGCAAAAAGAAAAAAACTCCCGAGGGCAGATATTTTTTTTTGTCATGTACACTCAACACCAGATCCAGCTGTAACCTTGTTCGAATATCCATCCAGAGCTACGAAACAAGATCCTTCAATATTTAGTTCGATATGCTGCCGTACGTACTTCTCAGTTATAAAGCTACTATATACATACAGCATGCGCCATGGTCATGCTCGCACCTTAAGAGATTACAGGTATTACGTTTAATATTGAGAGTAAAGAGTTCCTAGCTTGAGGAAGCGTTATCTATAGTACCTATATTGATGTTACGCCTGCTGCTATCGAGAAGTTTACAGATAAGCTTATTTGCATTTCAAGAAATTATAATCTGTCTTTTTTGAACATGGAGTAAAATGACATGTTCATTAGTAATTTTTTCGTGAAAAATAGATACGAAGACTAAGTCTTTACATAGTCCAGTCCAAAGTCATAGTCTAAGTTGAATAATCATTTATTCCATAAGTAGAATAAATTTAGGAAATGAAACTATATTTCGGATTTAAGTCGCGTATATTTGTTTCGGGACCGTCAACCGTAACCATGGGACTTGTAAAGGGCATACATGTTGTTGTTGATATTCTATATTTGCTGTTTAAGAGGTTTATCACTTTTTTTATAATACCAAGTGACGGGACGAACAAGTCGTGAGCCTCGTGGAAAGCGACACAACTGTCCATAACAGTAGCAGTGCCACTCAGAGACTCAAAGATCTGACGGATACTTCCACATACGTTGACAAGTCACGTGCTTTTAATTTCACCAGCACCTTTACGCTTCAAAACCGGAACGCAGAAGTGGTTAAGGTGGCAGTACTTCCCTGGACGAACACTTTCACAAGGAGCTCTACTGATACTGAATAATTAACTAAACAATATACTATTATACTTATATCACTTTCTGCGTACTTGTAGTACCGGTGCGGCTTTTACAGATTGTTTCTATCCATGATTCTTGAAATAAATAATGTAAAGGGTAAATGTGTACGAATGTTTATGTATAAAGAGCAGCCCCTAAAGTTTCTTGTTTATTTTTGTCAGGGTAATCTGCCTTACGAATGATTAATGTTTAATTAATGTGACGCTTTCAAATAGAATTTGATTAGGTACCTACGAAATAAAGATATTTTTGAATTAGAATTGGAGCGATTGTAGTGGTATGTAACTCAATTGTTTGGCGACTCTCCAAATTGGAGTTTTGTTAGTGTAGTCATGTTAGAATGTGGATTTCAGATTTTCATCAATGATTTCAGTAAATGATTCAGGATTGATAATATCAATTTGTTCAGTCGGCAATGAAATAATTACGTAAGTTGATTGCAATTAATTCGTTTATCCACTTTTCATACTACTTAGCTGGAAAGCACAAAAAATGAAACAGATTTAAATGGATTTTAATGTCACGCGGCAAATTCACAGGAAGCGGCCGCGTTCCGTTGTTCACTTTTGAAGTAAGTCTCACAAAAGGCACATCTTGTCAATGCGCGCTTGTTCATAAGGCGTTGACCATCATATTGTCATAGGAGTACATCAGATGGTCATCAGCCTCACCCTCTCTGCGACCTCACCCAGTTTGAGTAGTCAAATCGACGTTCATTATCATCATCATTCATCGTTCAGCCATACGACGCCCACTGCTGGACATAGGCTCCCAACGATCTCCATGACGATCGGTCCTGCGTTGCCTCATCCATCGGCTTCCCGCGACCTTTACCACATCGTCGGTCCACCTGGTGGGGGGCCTACCCACTGAGCGTCGTCCGGTGCGCGATCGTCATTGAAGAACCTTTCCGCCCCAACGGCAATCGGTTCTCCTAGCTATGTGCCTCGTCCACTGTCACTTCAGCAGGGCAATTCTTCGAGTAATGTCGGTTACCTTAGTTCTCCTACGGATTTCCTCATTTCTGATTTTATCACGTATGGAAATACCGAGCATCGCTCTCTCCATTGCCCGCTGAGTGATCTTGAGCCTTCTTATGATGCCCATAGTGAGGGACTATGTTTCTGATCCATATGTGATCACTGTCAGTACACACTGGTTAAAGACTTTCGTCTTGAGACACTTAGGTAATTTGGACGCAAAGATTTTTTGTAGTTTCCCGAACGTTGTCCATCCAAATTGACGTAAGGTTTGTAAACATACCGACATATATATAGACTATAGATATATACACATCTTATCTAATGGCTGCTTTAATACTTCTAGTATCGTTTCTTACTTTGACAAAAAAGAAAGAGTGGAATTTAAGCACTTATCGTGATGGAAATGTTGCAATGGCAAACATGAATAAACACTTCTAACGGTTCTCAATTATAGTTTTTTTGTTGATGCAACATTATTTTTTTATATAGATTACGCGATAAATAGTCAAGTGGTATGAGTTGATGCTTTCCTTTGTAGTAGTCCTATGCGTTGTAAGTATAATACAATATATAAATGCAATTTCTCCGCAAGATATTACAAGAGACTTCGACGTTATTGAATGTCGATGAACTTTGTTCATTGTGTTCCCGCACGTGAAGATTCACGCGGAACTGTGTTATTTATATAACAAAAGCTAATAACCTTATAATTTAATTGTTTTCGGGAAATCAAACATCTTCTGTTCGGTAGTTTACAATAGGCTACCATCGCTTTAACTACCATCATTATAACTATGTCACCTAACTTTTTCTTTTTTATGTTTTCACTTAGTCTTAAGATATTTCACTATTTCTTTCTGTAAGCGATTTGCACTGTTGAATTAATGTTAATACTTTTCCTCTTGCAAGTTTTTTTACTCTGTAATAATTTTATTGTGCATGTAGTGTCGGTCTATAACTGACTGTGCACTTAGTTTTAAGCTTTTGCATGTATGTTTCTAACTTATTGGTGTAACAATTGTTGACTGACCAAATAAATTAAAAAAAAAAACTATTACAGAAATAAAAATACCATGAAAAAATATATATTTCGGACGCGTAAATTTTTGAATATGTGTAATATGAAGTTACCCAATAGATATAGTAGCAGTACTGCCACCTTACCTATTTCAGTCACCGAGCAGTAATGTGAGTATTACGGCATTTCGGTTTCTGATTTGGGAGGGGTAAGGGAGCTGGGGAAATTACAGGGGACTTGTTAACTTATGTCTCAGCGTGACGGACGCAGTGGCAACGCTTCTCAGATGTTTGTGATGTGAGAAGCGTGTCGCTTACTACCAGGCGCACTAATTGTTCGTCCCGTCACTTGGTGACATAAAAAAAAGAAGAAATTTTGCTTACCAGGCTGATTAGCTTTTCCATCAATCTTCTGCAGTTCTTGAAGCTTTTCCTTCATCATAGTGTCGCTCAGCAGACCTCGTCTATTTGCTTCTAGCAGCTCGTCGACTTCTTCCGAGGAGTCGTCTCCAATATACGCGCACTCTTGTAGGTGTTTGTATCCTTTTATCATTATTAGTGAAGCTCCTGGATAGCTGGAAGTGTAGGGTTGGTTAAGAAATTTATAGGAACAGCTGCTATAATCTGATCTAGTTCCAAAATCGAAAAGAATATGAGCTATATTTGAAATAAGAACATCTCAAACTAATCCCATGTCACATATTACAATGTGCTTTTTAATATAATACAGCTTTGTGAACATCAATGGGTGAAATAGGACACCTATTGTGTTGAAGAAATGGATATATATCTACATCATTTTAAATCCGCTTACCTTACACATGCAGAAACAGTAACAGTAGACCCTTTCAATAGATAAAAGCCCCAATATTCCTTCATGTCGTCCTGAAGCTCAAGTTCTCTGGTCATCGACACCGGCACTAGGTCTTCGGTGAAGTGCGGCTGCCCTGGTACCACGAACGCGTTGAACGTCGCATTTGAACGGACCACTTGACGCTGGAGAACAAAGAATCGACATTAAACAACACAACTCGGTACAAGCACCATCTTTCTTTTTAATTCAAATAATTTTAAAAGATTTTAATATTCGATAAATATTTTTGTTCGAAAGTCATCCTGCACTTTGATGCCGATTTATGCGCCGGTCAGTGTACATAAATATTAAACAGGAAAATCTAGAAAGTTAAGAACTGAAAATAAATTCATAGCTGATAATGTTTCAATGTCATTAAAGTATAATTCTATCTAAATAATAAATCTTTAACTCATATTATACGAGTTACAAAAATAGTAAACTCAGCGCTTTATTGACCACCTATCATGGTTATGTATCAATCAACCTTAAGTACGGTAATATTTTTTGTATCCAAAACTCAATAGTATTGTATTGCTAGAAGTATCTTGACATAACCAGATCCTTTAAAAATTCTGGCTTTATTATCCAAACGCCATCCCAAAATATTCAGAATTGTCGCTGTACTCGGATTTGGAACTTTACCTGAAATTGGAACTCTGTACCGTGAATTGACTCCCCCGTATGTGACTTAACGCCTATAAAATATCATGGACTGAGACTGCATGTCTACCTACCTAAAACTACCAAAAGAAATATTCACCGACAACGTGGTTGTATGATTTAAACCTTTGCTTTTTCCTTAGCGGAAAGAATTATAAAAAATAACCTTATTTATTTCAATTCGTCACACCGGCTCGCCTTTTTGATCAGCTACAAATTATGTCATGCAAAACTGTTCCACGTGAAGATTGTAGTTGTTACAGCTTATTATGTTTTACATAAAATTCCGACTATTACAAATTGTAATAATTGTGTAGAAAATGAAACTATTTTTCCGGATTTAAATCGCGTATATTTGTTTTTTCAAACAAAGCGACGTTTCGGGCCCTTTACAGGTCCCATGGTCACGGTTGACTGAGGTGGCACAGTCTTCAACCAGTTATGTCGAATATTAATGCAATCAATTTATTATTTAATGCAGTTCAATTTATTATTAATTACTACTTAATAAAAATTAATTCGAAAGAAGCCACCGAGATCACGAAGTACAAAACATTTAACCGTGATGATGGTTTTAATTTGTCCAGTGCATGGAATCCGGTCCTTAATGCGTGCAGTAATAAAAACAAAAACACCTCGAGTTCAGTTTCGCGTGTGGATACAGTGAGTGTGGTTTGTGTGAAAAAAGTGAGTGACAATGGTAACGCCACAACAAATCGCGATGAAGGTAGTCGTCGACAGCGCAAGAGGGTAGACAGATATGTCTGCTCTTAATGCCGAAGCTCTGATACATCTAGAAATGACAAACCTCCACAAGGACACTAAGACTCATCAGGCCACATTATAATCTACAGGACATGCGGTGCCAGTAGTGCGTGACAACCTTTTCAGGTATTTGCTATTAAATAACGGCCTTATAAAAAAACATACGATACACCTAAGAATAATATAGTGTAGAGAATGTGCTGATTTGTTACACGATACGTAGTACTTTACTTGATCGTATAAAATCCCGTAAACAGAATTAAATAAAAGTAGTATAAATTGAATTGTTTAGGAATAAAATTTCTACCTTTGCACATAATTTTGATATGGCGCACTACTCATTCTATATATACGAAATTATAATGTACCTAAGAAGAGAAGTCTTTACTGTAAATACTAAACTAAATGTTTCTGTCACCCCGCTCCGCAGCCGTACCGGTCATTTGAGAACAGTCCCTCGACGCATGACACTTGCAGAGAAAAACCCGCGTGTCATCGGACCTACTTACTATGAGCGTTTACCCGCTACTCTCAGACTTGAACCGTCTGACGAAAGATTTGGGCGCCGGAAGAGAGACCTTTTCTTGAAAAATCCTTTATACTCTGTAAATTAATTTATGGACCTAAAATTGTAACGATATTGAGTATTTTCTATTTTAATTTTTACCGCATTGACATACTCTTGTGTAATTGTTATCGACTTATGACGATCCTTGATGGAGAATGATATTTGATATGTAATGTAAAGAGAAAATATTAATTTTTGTAATTACTGTGTATTTTTCTTATAATTTTCATTTTTGTCTGACGATCTCAATATAATTTCTTATACTTCGACATGTCGTGCAATTTATACTGTAATGTTATATTTGAGAAATAAATGAATCTGAATCTGAATCTATGGAGATATTTCTCTTTAAATACTGCAGAGAACCTACTAAAACTTGGTTTTCAACTGATGCCCTATAGTTAGTAACGGGCTTTATACAGACACTCTAGCGCGCGTGATACAGCAATCGTGAGCGATTGAGCGCGCGTGTAAAGACGTTGGAAGGAAAAGGGAAAGACCGCGACTGATGAGTTTCACGCGGTCTAGTTTAGCTTTTACACGGATGCTGTTTCCGCTGTAACAAAATCAAACACGAGAAATCGCGCGCGAAAGATCGTTGGTTTAAAAAACTCGTGGTACACTCCTGATCACGAGTGCTAGAGTGTTTGTGTAAAGGGGGCTAATGAATATATAAATCACTTTCCTACAAGGAAACGTCTGTGCCAGTCAATAGGATGTATTTATAGGTTAATACCGCACTGATAACTATAACTATTTATCATGACGAAGCGTCAAGCTGATACCACTTATGTCACAGTTCTAGAATTTGATTTGTTATTTGCAAACTTGATGTTTATTGACATTTTAATTGGAATTCTGTTTGCGAAATGTTCCTATTGACGCTACTGTATTGTTGCAGTCTTTAATCTATTCAAGACTGTGTGAACTGCGTACTAAATGTCCCTTTAATCTCTTTAGAGCTCCCACAGACTGCAGATTTTCTATCGGCCGTTAATTCAATCGGTCGGTTAGTCATCGATATCGGTATGTATTAACTTAAGTTTTTTTTATTATATTTTTTTTCCAATACAGTCACTATTGTTAAGGAAGTAGACATACGTTGACAAGTCCCACGTGTCTGTGATTTCACCAGCAAGCGTCGATGCAAACGTGCGACTGCATCAGACAGTCGCCTTATGTCGAATATTTATGTGCGAAAAATCTGTATAGGTTTATGCACATTATTTTGTTTTGTTAAATTAATTAATACATTAAAATAAATAAATTAGTTCATTGATTTCAAACGTGCATTCCGTTTGCAGCGCTTAACGTCGCCGCGTGTATGTGTAACCGCTCTAAAGGGAGGGGTAGGGTAGGGTAGGGTAGGGTAGGGCAGTACTTCCCTGGTCGTACTCTTACTCAAGGTGCTCCACTGCTACTAAAGTAGGTTAGTACGTACAGACTAAGTGTGCGCACTGGTAACGCAATCCGATATCGTCGGATAAAAAGTCTATAAGTTTCAGGTGGCCCACGACGCAAGTGAGCGTAGCTTAGCGAGAGAGTATCGAATTTTTTATGATTTATTCTAAAGACGCTCTTACATTATAGTACAGAGATCAAAGCGTGGTGATTCCGGCAAGCACAATATATTTGTAAAAGTCGGCAGCTGTCGTATCATATGCCTGCCACTATTGAGTACAAGTATCTTCCAGTGTAGGACAATGAAGTTACACACCTACCTGACACCATGTGGGGGAGATTTTGCTGTCAATGAGCCTCATGTCCGTCATGCTCATCGGATACATTTGTCCGCTGAACACTTTGTACCTAGAAAAAGGGAACAGAGTTAGAATAGAACGAACGGCTGCATATAAAACTACACATTGATGGATTTTTTCGGTTTCTCTTGAGGTGATATTCGGATAAAAGTGTGTAGCTTGATGTGCTGTTGGCTGTACAATAATCTACGATGCGTTGCATTACGAAAGTCCGAATGACAATGAACACTTTTATAACTTTAATTAACTCTATATTTATAATTATTAAGATGAGATCGAGCACTTAGAAAAAATTCCTTCGATCCGGCCGGAATCGAACCGACGTTTTCTAGCATACCGTGCCAGACGCTATACTAACTAAGTCACGGAATGAACCAAATACTAAACCGAAACACTTTAATAGATTTCTTATAGATGGGGCTACGGCTAAAAAGTCGTTGAAAAACCAAATACAAAGACACGACAACAAGCACATAGAAAAATTCGTGAGGTCCGCTGGTTCGTTCCGTCGCTTAGTTGGTATAGCGTTTGGCACGATATGCTAGAAGACGTCGGTTCGAATCCGGCCAGATAGAAGGAATTTTATCGAAGTTTTCGATCTTTGTATTACTAATTATAACAAACTAGTGGAGTAATTTCACAAAAAATAATTGAATATCAATTCAATAAAATTTCAAATAACTCTATATTTGTTTAGAAAAATGTTTAACGGAGGCATAACCGCCTACCTTGAAGTTCAGAGTATGACGATTCTTTCTTGTTGGAAGACGGTACCTCAGTATTGGTCCCAATTAAATTAGAAGAAAATATTTCACTTTAAGGGTGGCAAACTAGGGGATGAGTCCGGTTTCGCGCACTTTCCGTAAATTGCAAAGTTTGAAGTCAGTTTCCTTTTTTTTTAAATAAAAATTATATTTAAATGACTTGCAGTTGAAACGTCACGTTGTACGGAACGCATTGGTATAGATTTATCTTTGTAGATAACATTGTATAGATTGTTAATCATTTCCATCGCTTCAATAAAATAAATAAAATACCTAAGTTTATTTATTGTTTTAAATTATTCTTTAAGGGAAAGTGTCCGTTGACAAAGATAACATAACATTAATAAAATAATAATCTCTGAACGGTGCCGAATAAAACACGGCCAGACTGCTGTGTGGACGTTCGTTTACTTTAATACATAAAAACAATATTGTATAAATAAATTATAGGCAATATGATAAGCTATGTATAAGGGCCGGTCTTTATTAATAATACACATATCAAACGGAAGATGTGATAAAAACCGACTTAATAGGTGTGTCCCCGGAGAAGCGAGAAAAACTGTTTTGTTAAATCAAATAGTTTAGGTATTTACTATCAAATAAAGATCTTATAAAAAATATACGACACACATAAGGATATTGTCTAAAGAATGTGCTAATGTATTACACGATAGGATGTCCTTTACCCGTTTATATAAAATTCTGAAAACAGGCTAAAATACAAGTCTAAAACCAATTATTTAAGAATAAAATATCTTACTTTGTACGGGGTCAAGAGCACGTCACGCTTGACACCTTTTTTTTTTGTTAATCCGGGGGAATCTGCTAACACTTAAATCCAACTATATGTCGCTTACGATAAGAATGGTCCAAAGTACAAAGTGTCAAGCATGACGTGCTCCTGACTGTACATAATTTTTATATGGAGATATTTATCTTTAAGTACTACAAGAACCTGCTATATTTTGGTTTTCAATTGAAGCTCTTTTAGTTATTAAATTCACATTTATCTTAACACGTTCCCTGTGTAAGCATCGTATATGGTGCATTTCGAGGTCCAAACGATGCGTTATTGCATCACATATGAGACATATGAGAAATTTGACGTGTCATCTTTATTTACTTGCACGTATGGACCACATAAATTGTGACAATTAACATGTGGTTACCGGAAGACTTTTTAACCAATGTTGCACTGTCAAAATAAAACACAAAAAACATTGACTTACAATTATATGGACGTCGGGTCCGCGCTAAAAAGTGTCCGAACTTATAGGGCGTTAAAATCGTATACAGAGCGTCATTCACGCTTTAGTCTTCGTTTGTTCGGCTGACAGCGAAGCAAGCATAATTAGACAGTACTGCGATGACATTACAATTTAAATTCAACGTTTTAGCTTTTTCATATTCCTTTACATGTCACTACGTTTAAATAGGCTGACTTGAGACATTTTTTTCGTGGTTTTTGTATTAGACCCGTCGTCCATTTATTTGTAAGTCAATGACAAAAAAAGAACTAGTACGTGAATGCACCATTAATATGGCATTAAGTAAAGAAGTCATACGTGCGTGTATCACATATGGGGCACTTGGGAAAATTGAGAAAATGGGAAGGGAGTTTATGGGAATGATTTTTTCATCCATAAATGTATTATATATACCAATTTCGACGTATTTGCAAAATCAAAAAATTGCACGTGAGGATCAATTTCTTATTTCCAGTTACACAGGGAACGTGCTAATGCAAATTGCCCAGCGGTTTAGTAGGTTGGATCTGTGTCAAATATTCTCCGCCTGTTCTTATTTCATTCATATTAATTTACAGCGCGCGGATTGCGAGACGCGAGGGGCGAGCCCCCACACCTCATCTCGCTCGCGTTGGAATGCCTCGCCTTAATCACTTTTACCGGTTTCAGTATGAACATTCTTTGGTGAATTAAAAGCAAAGTATTTCAAATTAATAGCTCAGAATAAGAAGTTTTGCATATTTACTTATTTATAACCTGTAACCCTTTCCAATGTATAACAATCGTGAAAACCTAAGGGTACGTACAGATCTGGCTAATGCGCTTATTGCGAAAGGTTCGCAAGCTGCACACGTGCATTACGCAGTACGATCTGTTCGCGTGCCGTTCGCTTGCTCCTCGCGCGCCATATTATGCTTCCTTGCCTTGTGTGCGATATGTCTATAGAGACTCACTTAAGAATCGACACTACTTCAGCTCCAATAATAATACGGTTCATTTTGTTGGGTCGAGCGGTGTTTTTTAACCGACTTCAAAAAAGGAGGAGGTTCTCAATTCGACTGTATGTTTTTTATGTATTTGTGAACCGATTTTCATGATTCTTTTTTTGTTGGAAAGGGGGTAATTCCATAGTGGTCCCATTTTATTTTGAAGAAAATCAACCACCTCAAAGGGTGGCTGTTCACGCATGAAGATTCATTTTTATAAATAGCGCCTGACTTTAATTTAGGAGCAATTACTTTTAGCAATTATTTAGTTGATTTTGCTATTTCTCCAATCAAGGCGTTTTTCTATCGATATACTTTGAGTAGTGTCGTAGTGAGAACCTATTTTTATTATCTCCAGTATCACGTCCTGTATAGTGGCGAACTAGGGGATATTTCAATGAAACTTAGCAAATAGATGTAATTCCACGTACTTTTGAGGTCGGTTTTTTTAGTACTCTGTACTGCGATTATTACAAACAAATTAAAGCCATTTCAAAAATGGATATCGTATACTATACGTGTTCCATTTACTTCAGTTGATACAAAATAAATCATTGGTATATGCAAAGTACTTATTTAATACAGCGCTTTTTTGTAAATTTTCAAGGTAAGTTTGTGTCTTTTTCCTATCGTGAAAATTTTTAGACCACCATATACTAATCAGTATATATTCTCAATTTTATTATATATTTTGTTCAAAGTGATTAATTTGGCACTTTCAATGTGATGTGGAATCAACCAAAGCCATGTGCAACACACGTGTAACGTATTCGCAGCGAATTCGCCACATTCGTACGTACCCTGAGAAAACAATAAAATTTCAAAAAAAAAAAACCTTTGAATGAGAGAGACTACTGTCATGAATTTTATACAAAATTATGTTATGTCATAGTGTGTATTGTGTACAAAGCGTACAATCAAAATTTCTTACCTCAAGTACATCGGCACGAGTAAGAACAAGCTGGGCAGGAATATTATGAGAGCGATCAGCCGGCACAGTCTGATCGGACCCTTGAAACAGTTTCTGTTTGCGAGATTGCAGGGCCTTGTGCGACGCACCCTAGGGACATGGATTCCCGCTGAAAATAGTACCATAATTTATAGCATAGAATACAGTGTGGGGAAAAAAGTCTTTGTAGCGGTAGAGCTCTTTGGGAAAGAGTTTGTCTAGGGAAGTACTGCCACCTCACCTATTTCATCCGCCAAGTAGTAATGCATTATTGCGTTTCTGTTTTGAAGGGTAAGGGTGCCGGTGTAATTAGAGGCACGTGAGATGTCAACTTATGTCTCAGGGTGACGGGCGCAGTGGTAGTGCCCCTCAGATCTTTGCAATTTAAAGCTCTGTGGCACTGCAACTGTTATGAACAGGCATGTCGCTTAATCACCACTTACCATCACGACTTGTTCGTCCTGTCACTTGAATAAAAAAAATGAAAAAAAAAAAAACAATAAACAACGTTGTCATATAACATTCTGTCAATGGTTTGAGGTTTAGTATTGATCGATGATTTAGTTTTAATCAATTGTTTTGTGATTATCATAGTATAACAAGAGCAAATAGGGCAACTCCTGCCTATTCGGGGACTCTTGGAGCGCAGCATTGTCACATTATCATTGTAGTAATACATAGCTTGTACATATAATTTGAAAACATTATAGTTATTTGTTATGCAAGGCTGCAAAGTTGTTGTTTGTCGCTTGTATTGAAACCAGAGCAAGCGTAAGAAGCTAAGATTAAAAATAGATATCTGAGCAAAACAACTTTGCTACCGATCGAAACACACAACTTTTCATCTCTAGCGATGAAAAGGGTAGATGAAAGAAAAACTGTTGAACTATGAAAAATCAGTTTTTTTATTGAAAACAAAAAGTTTATCTTCGGATGCGTTCTGAATTTACACCTCATCAATTTTTATTCTTGCTTGTACTTTTATTTTGTGTGATTAAGTGATTATTGAAATTATTTTAGTTCCTCGACGAATTAAAATAATTTAGTAAACACTATTAGTTGTCATCATTGACTTACAATTATATGGACGTCGGGTCCGCGCTAAAAAGTGTCCCAACTTATAGGGCGTTAAAATCGTATACAGAGCGTCATTCACGCTTTAGTCTTCGTTTGTTCGACTGACAGCGAAGCAAGCAAAATTAGACAGTACTGCGATGACATTACAATTTAAATTCAACGTTTTAGCTTTTTCATATTCCTTTACATGTCACTACGTTTAAATAGGTTGACTTGGGACATTTTTTTCGTGGTTTTTGTATTAGACCCGTCGTCCATTTATTTGTAAGTCAATGGTTGTCATCGTCAATTTAATGTCAACAACAATGAGAATAAAATATACCAACGGATTCATCTAAAGAAAGAGTTAGGTGCACCACAGTCCATCGTCAAGTTCGAATTTCAAAAACCTTCTCCACGCTAGCGTGTAAAAAACGCTTTCGCGCGCAGATTTCTAATGAGAAAGAAAGCCTTTCCGTGTTAGTGAGGTGAAAAGGTATTTATCACGGTATCATCGTGCTGTATTGAAATAACATTTGTTAAATATATTACTTACATATTAATATTTTTACACGTCGACGACAACATTCAGACATCGAAACCGCTAGATGGTTTATTTCGACTTTCACAGTTTTATGATATACGTCATTTTGCTTTGAGATAATGCCGCCGATATTATTAGAATCTTTGTCCTGAGAAACGTGCGGTTAGGGCAATTTACAATCTGGCCCTCAGAGTGTCTTTGAGAGATAAGTTTAGAGATTAAAATTCTTACACTAGCGTCACAGTACAGTGCAATTTATGGTAAGAAGAATAATAATACGAGGATTAAAAATAAACTAGCTGTTGTTGACAGTCTTTACAAAGTCACAAATTCATATAAGAGGTAATGTATACGCTTATATAATAAGACTTTCTGCGTACTTGGATGACAAAAATCCGTGGTAGTGACCCATTTAGTACTCTTACAGTATTCTCGGGCTAAGATGTTTGAAATAAATACTGTAAATGATAAATCGACACATCCGTAGAACAAAGGTCTATGTGTAAGACTACTTGTTCTCAGGACATAGTACATTTCGTTCGTTCTTCTTCGCTGTGGATGTCAGATCGACCTTTGTTCGATTTTGTATTTCCGAAATTAAATAAGATATATAAATTCTCAAAACACCTTTACGAAGGCCTTAGTTTGAATAAGGAAATTATTCTCGTAACGTACTTATTTTCTTTTCGCTACATAACCACATCGGACTCTGTTCTTCGGATCCCCCTAGAGTTTCTTGCTCATTCTCCTCAGGGGAATCTGCCTTTTAATCAATATGACGATTATAAGCGTAATTTGCTTACCTATGAAACAAAGATGATTTGGCTTTGAATTTGACTTATTTTATATCGAGCGAACGCTCCAGTTCTAGAATGAATGGCGCGTGTCATGACTCACAGTGCACCACGAAATTATGCGCATTTTTTGTGCGCGTGCACACATAAAAGCCGCGTTACTAAGTTTGTGTAGACGTAGAGTTACACTTGCCTTGTTATACTATGGTACTGTCCACTCATATGTGTATTTCTTCTTTAAAGTTTAGTTAGTAAGTAGTGGTCATTCGTGCTTAAAAAAGCTAGATTTGTTTTGTTTCGGGAATTTGAAACGGTTTATTTTACCACCATTTAATTTGTACAAAAATAGCTAGATAGATAATTAGATAATTAACACTTATATCTTTTTATTTAGAATGAGACCCAGGCCTTACCTTCCAAAGGCACTAATTCCTGTGGATCCATTGCGTTTTGTTCCATGTTTGTTCCTTAAATTCATATCACAGCACTACTAAGCCCATTTATGTCCACTTCAGTTCATTTAGGTGTACAAAAGAGTACTTTCGTCTACTCCACTAGCTTTACGGAATTCATTATTATGTTTTATAAAATTATGCTTACACTTTCTTATTATATTCTTATTAAATACTTGGAATTAAAATTATTTTGATTTGATACAATTTTTATGTGAGTTTGTGTACCTGTGAACAATAAAAAATAATTATTAATATAACGTCATATGCCAAACGATCACACCAATCACCTGGTCTCCAATCTGGGAATTCCCCGTACTAAGAGTACCAGAGCAATGATACTCGTTATCAAGAAAAACTCAGACCAGAACCAATTTAGAAAAGTTCATTTCTCAAATTGATTCTATCGGGGATCGAACACCATTTTTACTATCACCACCATCCTATTTCAGCGCCCACAGTGCAAACCGTTGGGCCGTTAAAAAAAAATTGAAATAACTCCTAAAACCAGTAGAAGAAGTACATACTGCCTCCGTAGCCGAACGGTTACCATGCCAGACTGCTACGCAGAGGTCCCAGGTACGATTCCGGGCCGGGAGAAATATTTGAATGGCCTAGATTTATTTCTCTCGTGACTTTGGGTGTAATTTGTGGTTGTCTATGTGTGTGTCCATGACACCTACCACACAGGGTTTCCCTAGTGCGGGACCATGTTGAGTGTGTGCGTTATTTGTTTATACATCTTGAGGACAGGGGTGAAGTGTTTCTTCACTCCCGTCCCTAGGCCCTAGCAACCGCCAATATCGTAAATACGCTTCTTCCAATAAAACACAAACACCAAGATACGGAAAGCCACGCAGAGGTCCTGGGTTCAATTCCCAGGCCGGGAGAAATATTTGTATGGCCTGCAAATATTTCACTCGTGAGTTTGGGTGTAATTTGTTGTTGTCTATGCCACACGGAGAAAAAGTACCTTAAATACCGTAGATAGAAAATTTTACTGAATAAAGACTTCATTTTGATTTTAAAAACAAATCGAACTGTTTTATACTTTGAAATGGAAATGCCAGTTGTTATGAGCGCGGCAAACTCAGAGAAAAGGCTATTTCATTATCCTGAAAAAAAAATTTCAAATTAAATGTAAAATTTCATTGTCTTCCTTTTTATTTAAGATGCTATGTTATTTAGAAGAAAGTAATCCTTATAATTGAGTCTTTCTATAAGTATAGTAAAATTACAGGTGTTTTTTTTCACATTGGGCAGGTTCAATTCCCGGTTCAGACAGGCGATTATTTAAAAATCTTTGAATGTTCGGAAAGTTTTCTATCTACGGTATTTAAGGTACATTCCCACTGTGTGGCGTAGCCGTGGGACACCCTATGTAAGCTTTTATTGTATTTTTATATCTTACCTGTCTAAAAAATCAATTGTAAAACTTTAGTACCTAAATTGGTTATACTGGGAGTAAAACCTATAAAAGTACGTTACAATTAATAGTAGATACAAGAAATCAAATGAATATCACTTCAAACGTCTGATCTCCATCGGAGTTCTAGTGGTACTGAACATTAAGCAATATATATATATCTCTATAATGAACAAAGATCTTTATCTGATATACATGTATATTATACTTTATTATGTATTATTTGGATAATTGTGTCCTTTAAGTTTATTTTTACAATGTAAATACTATTTATCTGTATCTAAAACGTCGTGTAGCTAAGTGGGAGAACAGGTGCTTCTCAATTCAGGGGTCACAAGTTTGATAAACGTCTAGTAGCGTTCGCTAACTATGAAGAAAAACATGACAAGGTTTACAACACTTGAAAAGTATGTGAAATTGCCAACCCACATTGGGCCACCATGGCAGACGATGTGTGGGGAAAATTTTATCATTGTCTTCTCGTGGTGTTTTAAAAAAGCATTTTCCTTTGATGTATTTTTAATTTATTATTATACAGGACGTCACACGGCTATGTCACACGGAGGGAAAGTACCTTAAATACCGCAGATAAAAAAACTACAGAAAGAAGATTTTATTTAAAAAAAAATTCGAACCTCGAACCTGCCAAATGTTAAAAAAACATGCTGTAATTTTACTATACTGATCCAAAGCGTCGACCATAAGGACTGTTTGTTCTAAATAACATAGCATCTTAAATAAAAGAAACACAATGAAAAACATTTAATTACAATAGTTAGGTACATTTAACAACTCAATTTAAGTTATCAAATGCCCAAAATGTGTCCTATTTTGCTGTATATAAATTGTTACTCTTTTGATAAGTTCCTGTAAACTAAATCTTTGAAAATTTCAAATGTATAGTTAAATTAAATATATGTATAGTTACATCTAAATCATGGTCTTCCTTTTATTGAACATGCTACGTTATTTTGAAGAAAGCAATTCTTGTGATTGAGGCTTTTGATCAGTATAGTAAAACAGCGTGGTTTTTTTTCACATTTAGCGGGTTCGGTACTCGGTTCAGACAGGCGATTATTTAAAAATCTTTGAATGCAGTTCAAATTGTTTTTAAAATCAAAGTGATATTTTGTGTGTGTGTTAACGTGTATAACTTTAACTGCCTCTGTGGCCGAACGGTTCCCATGTCGGATGCAGAGGACCCAGGTTCGATTCCCGGGCCGGGAGAAATATTTGTATAGCCTACATTTATTTTCCTCGTGAGTTTGGGTGTAATTTGTGGTTGTCTATGTGTGTGTCCATGGCATCCGCGACACAGGGTTTCCCTAGTGCGGGGCTATGTTGAGTGTGTGCGTTATTTATTTATTATTATTATATGTTATTTTTAACCGACTTCAAAAAAGAGGAGGTTTTCAATTCGATGGTATTTTTTGTATGTTTGTTACGCAATCGCTTTGACATTTGTAAACCGATTTCGATGATATTTTTTTATTGGAAAGGGGGTATCTCGGTAATGGTCTCATTGAAATTTTAAGAAAATATTCCACCTTAAGGTCAAAATTTAAAAAAATTGTGTCCAGGAACAGAGGATGGTAAAGAAAGTGGGATGACGATGAAGGAGGTACTTTGCCCAACACTGGCCTACCCAGGAGTGAGAATGTTGATGATTATTTAAAAATAGCCCGTGTAAACGGTATGCATTAGGCACTAATTAAAAGAGAACTGTTTACTCACAACGTTAGTTGTAAACATTATCTTTTCAGTAGATACGTTTATTGAAAGGTCAAATGAAGCGGCCTTTGTTCAAAGGTCGACTCTTATCAATATCCGATAGTTTAAACGTTGCTTTATACTCTAGTCAATTATCCATTCAACACGTAGTATATATACAATTTGAATTAAAGTCCACTGACGGACAAAGTTCACAGTGGGGTCGGTTCATTTGAAGACCACCTTTATTTTTTATAGGGTGTAACAACAATACGGAGCGACTATAATTATGTTGGCTGGTGTTATATTATAAAATAACAAATAATCATTGAAAGTGGGACTGCTAGTAAATGCTTCGATGGTTTGGTCATGTAGAAAGGATGGATGTTAATAGATTGACGGCATATATTTATTGAACGAATGTGAATGGAAATTGGGGAGAATTAATCCTCAAAGTAGATATCTCAATCAGATTGGGATGTCCTTAGAAAAGACCAGGTTAAAATTATCTAAAATAAACGAGCGTGTATGGAATGATGCGATGAAGTAGGCGTAAGAGCTGTTAAGAGCGTCACGCCTGTCCATAGCAGTTGCAGTGCCATTCAGAGCTTTAAATTGCAAGGATCTTAGGGTACTGCCACTGTGACACAAGTAGTCAAGTCGCATGAGTTTGTAATTTCACGAGCACCATTTAAAACCGGAATGAAGTAATGTTGTGACATTACTGTTTGGCGGCAGAAATAGGTGAGGTGGCAGTACTTCCTTAGACGAACTCTTTCACAAGGTGCTCTACTGTTACTAACACACGAGACTTTAATGAGAATCAAGGGTCATGGTATGTAAGGTGTCTGTTGAACAAATAAGTTTTTATTTCATTACGCAACATTGCCAGTCTCCATTTTCATCATGTCAACTTTTTCTTATCTATACAATGCACCTAGATATTTTTAAGACCTGAGAATCGGCTTAAGGCGACAAGTGTGATAAACATGATCGCTTCAGGTCATTCCGATGACTCACCAATTCTTCAAAATTCCCTGTAAAGGAATTTCGCAATGAAAACGGCTGACAATAATAAGATCAGTCAACATCGTGTAAGACAACACGCTCTTAATAGGGTTCCGGGTACGACACCGGATAAGAAGGGATAAGCGGGGCAAGTACCACAGCTTTTTCAAGCATATTCAGTTTACTTAATTTTAAAAAACGTCACGATGAAATCAACTTGTACGGATATAGGTTCATGATGATCTTGAAGGTTCTGGAGACTTAATTTCATATCATGAAAACTCGTGGTGTCTGTCAGTAAAATCTAAAAGAATTTTTCACAAGGTGGTACTATCTAGATTAACATGTTTCATTATCTATTGCTCATTTTTTATTAGCTACTAGCTTTTGTTCACGACTTTAGTCGGTGTTTCCTATCTTTATCTAGTTTTTTTAATGTATAGCAGATGAACGCTTGGCCACAAATTTAATTGCTTCTAGACTAGGATGTGGCCAACGATGTTATGTGTTTGTTTAGTAAATGCTTATTTACTATAGCTGTGAATCGTTTAAAGTAAAAAGTAAAGTAAAGCCATTCTTTTGTATCCGGAAGGATGAAGCAAAGGTGTTCTGGACTCTCTACCCCGAAGGAGGAATGGTGAGCGTAGTAACCGACAAGTAAGCCGCTTTTCTGTGGTGATCTTGACTCAGAAGCTGGGAATCCACAAGTATTTTTCTCATAAGCAGTTCTCATTATGACAAGGAGCAGGCACACGTCAAACGTTGTCTTAATTTTTCGTGTATTAAAACTTTCATCAATTAAATGTGGTAGGAACCTGAAGGTCATAATGTGCAGTTAAAACATCTACATTTCAAAACCGATAAACGACTCTAATATGTAAGGAAAATATTTATCAATCG